CACATGAAGAGATCAATGAGGAGATGCTGAAATGTGTCAGCCTTCTGGCTCCAGGACCACACGTCTTCCTGCTGGTGTTAAAGACTGAGAGAATCACACCAGAAGAGAAGGAAGCATTAAAACTTATCAAGGAAGGCTTTGGGAAGAATTCAGAAAAATTCACCATCATTCTTTTCACAAGAGGAGATTCACTGGAGCATGAGGGGCAGTCCATTCATGATTACATTGCAAAATCTGATGATTCCTTTAAGAAGCTGATTGATGATTGTGGGCAGAGATTCCATGTGTTTGATAACTTTGATGAACAAAACCGGATACAAGTCACTGAGCTGATAACAAAGATCGATGACATGGTCAAAAGAAATGGTGGAAGTTGCTTCACCAATAAGATGCTGCAAGAAGCTGAAGCTGCGATCCAGAAAAAAACAGAGACGATTCTGAAAGAGAAGGAGGAAGAAATAAACAGAGAGATGGAAGACCTTAAAAGACAACATGAGGAGGAAATGCAAGAAATGAAGAAAAAAATGGAAGAACAGAAAACAGAAATTGAACAAGAAAGAAAACAAAGAGACAAAGAGCTTAAAAAAGTGAAGAAACAGCTTACCACAAGAAAGAGAGAACAAGAATCAAGAGATGAAGAAGACAGAGAGAAGAAAGAAGAGGAAGAATCACAGCGTAGGGATTGGGAACAAAGGTTTTTAGATTTAGAAGTAAAAATGAAAGAAGAACTGGAATCAAAACAAATCATTGACAGACAACTGGAGCAGAGCAAAGCAGAAATGAAAGAGAAACAGGAGGCATGGGAGAATGAACAAAAAGAGTGGTGGCAGAAAAGAGAGCAGGAAAATGAAGTGAGGCAACAGGAGGAGCAGAAAATGATGAGCAAATTGAAAGAATATGAGCAGGAAAAAGAAGTTCTTGAGAAAGAAGTAAAAGAAAAGGATTTGATGTTAACAGAAAAGGGGGAAAAAGAGAAAAGGGAACTGGAGGAAAACTATGAGAAAAAACTGATGGAAATGAAGGAAACATTTGAAGAAAAAGCCAGAAAACAAGCAGAGGAATACAACGAATTCAGGGAGAAATGCATGAAAGAGTTAGAGGGTAAGGACTGGACAGCCGAAGATGAGCAATATGACATCTTAAAAGCACTAAAAGCTGAGAAAGAAGAACAAATGAAAAAACACAAAGAAGAGATGAATAACTTAGTGAGATGTTTCACCAAAAAGAGGGCAAACACAAAAAGAGTCCGCAAGCTACTGAAAAAGCATGAACAGGAAATGAAGCATGTGGACGATCCAGAGGAAAAGGAGGACCTCGAGGAAAAACATGACAAAGAAATAAATGAACTGATACAAGAACTTATAAACAAAAGCAATGATGATTGTCCTATTATTTAGTTTATTGTAAAAGCAAGGCCAGACTTACCTGTGTCCAACACTTCTGCTCACACTGAAAGTCAACAAACACTGGATAGCTTTTCATGAAATTTGGCTCAAACATTCTGGGAATCAATCACA